ATACTATAGCCGTTCTCACTCGCACATGTACTGATTTGCACCGATGTTTATTTGCATGCACATATGCCTGATAAGTACCTGAGTCGTAAGAATCATTCGTTCAAGTGCACCTCATGATCTTTCTCTATACAAACTTGAAATAATATATCACATACTTTACTAGGTATCTTAAGCTCAACAAACAAGGGAGCCTCTGAACAGCCGAGGGTCCTACATCCTTACATACTTGTAAAGATTATAACGTGCTGTTGTACACCCATAAATGCTTGCCAACCACCCCGAGCTTAAGAAGCAACAGTCTCAGTTAACCAAAAGACCCGTGTCCACTCATACTATTAAAAACATGCCACAAACTCAATTACATACGCAGATGCTTGCTAGGTATCTCAAGCGTAAGAAGCAATCGTCCAAGTTCAGCGAAGGCCCGGCCGTGTCTTTTGCACCTGGTACTGTGAGTCCCCGCAATCGCGGTCGACAGCGAAAACTCATCAAAGCACTGAACCAGCGGGACGGTGTGGGATCGTTGGATAGTGTGGGCGACAGTCACTTGAAAGTGGGGGGCCCTTGCATGAGTTTGTAAGTGGGTGTGTGTATGTGTGTGCAGTAGGTGGATAGTATGTGTATAGTGTGTGTATAGTGTGTGTATAGTGTGTGTATAGTGTGTGTATAGTGTGTGTGCATAGTGCGTGTATAGTGTATATATATATGGCCGGTGGTCCGTGTTTGTATTCTCAGCTCGGGCCGAGTAGGCAAATAAACAAACGCACCAGATGAGAGTGGGCTGGGTTGGTATTGGACAGCTTGCGCTGTGTATTAGAGATCAGGGATGGCGGGGGGGGGTGGGGGCGACTTCGTGCGAGAGTGTGTTGGTGGGTGCATTTTTCTATAAATGTAGTATGTTCGTATGTGGGATGTACTCTCCTGCAATCCTTTTGTGTTTGATAAAGTTACAATGGCAAATGCGCATGTGGCGGACTTGAGTTTGAATACTGTCGTGTATGTCGCAGTGTGTACGTGTATAATAGTAGCTGCATATCGGGCTGCGTATGTATGCGTGTGCCCGTACGTCTATATGCGTAAGGCAAGCCCATACAATGCTCTGTCTATCTTTATCCTTATCACATAGTGTATAGATAACCTTGCTCATTGTCTTTGTGCCCTTGTCTCGTACAGATTCAAGCCGAACAAGCTGTGGTATCCAGGGAAGGTGGTGAGCATGCGTGTGGTTGATATACTCAATATAGTCATCTACGACGACGATGACACCGCCTTGCACCGTGATGTTCCAATTCAGAAGCACATGTGCCGGCCGCTGAAGCCTGGTGTGTATCTCCACCTCACAATTATCTGCTATGCCTGCAGATTTGGCAGGGTTAGGGGTTTAAACGGTCTACGGTTGGGGGTGCAATGGTTTGGGTCTGAGGGTTTATACAACGTAGTTTTATACCGTATGTGCCGTCTGTGCTTCTGTGTGGGAACGTCGTGTGTGCACATCTTCTCGTCACATCAGGGGCTGTATGCGGACGCGTAGTCTCAGTTTGTGGTCTTCTTAGGACGTAACTGATCTGCTGCTCACCGCGATAGTCTACTGAATCCATGTATATCTATATGTACTTTGATTCTTAGCAGCTATGTATTTGTGTATGTTATTCACCTTAAAAGATTTATGTGTGTGTATGTGTGTGCGCGCTCTCTGATCCAAAGAAATCTATAATCATGTATGTATGTTAATATATGTGTGCGTATGCGTACATACACACATATCTTCAGTCCGCGCGTAGAATCGACAGACCTGCCATTTATGGCATACTACTCCGCACATGAACTTCACACTCGGTGTCGACACAGACACGTTTACGAGCCTTCCATTTGTCCATTGAATGTTACACACACACGGACATCCGAGCATTCGTTTGATATACTATATTCGCCCACAAGTTGCGTCATCTCTCGGACTTTTTGTAGGTGACGAAATGACCTCAGGCACCGATGTCATGGTGAAGAAAGGTGACGGCACTGACAATGAACGTAAGTATCGGTTAGACGCAGATGTATAGAATTATTTACAAACATGATACACAGGTGTAG